GCCAGCTTAGAATGCTTACCAGCACCTCGCTCCTTTGGGCAAAAGTTCCTAAAAATAAGCACCTTTCTTAATTTGGAAACCCTGGTGGCACCGTGGTTAAGTGCTACAGCTGCTAACCAAAAGGTCAGCAGTTTGAATCCACCAGCTGCTCCTTGGAAACCCTGTTGAGCAGTTCTACTCTGTCCTATAGGGTTGCTATGGGTCGGAATCGACTCCATGGCAATGGGTTTGGTTTTTGGTTTTTTCTTAATTTATTATTATCGACTGCTGTTATACTTCATGTCCCCGCCCGCCAATCTGAAAGAATTCGGTTCTCTTTGCATTTCAAAAGGAGCCCCTGGGTGGTGCAAACGGTTAAGCGCTCAGCTACTAACAGAAAGGTTGGCTGTTCAAATCCACCCAGAAGTGCCTCAAAAGAAAGCCTGGCGATCTGCTTCTGAAAGCTCACAGCCATTGAAAACCCTATGGAGCACACTTACACTCTGAAACACGTGGGGTTGCCATAAGTCAGAATTGACTTCATGGTTTTGGGTACTTGCATTTCAACACCCCAAACCCCCTTGCCCAGTACAGCAGAACATACCCCATCTCTGTGTTTCTTCCTGGGTTCTTGGTCTCTGGGTAAAGCAGATGCAATTCTTGCACGTGCGGCCCTCTCCCTCCCAGCTCCTCCCCTCTCAGCGGACACATCCACCGTGGGTTCTACCTGTAGAAGACCCTTCTACTCCTCTCACGGGACTCTGTGGTTCGCCGTGCTAAACTGTGTCCCCCAGAAATCTGTGTAGTAAATCCTGACCCCTACACCTGTGGGTGTAATCTCATTTGGGACTAGGGTTTTCTTTGTTATGTTAATGAGGCCATATCAGCGCAGGGTAGGTCCTACACCTAAGGACTTCTGAAACGTAAAAAGAGCAGGTTAAGCACAGAAGCGAGCACACATGAGGGAAAATCGGCGCCAGGGGGAGACGGCCATGGAACACCGAGAAGCACTCTAGAGAAGCTGAGACAAGGGCCTTCCCCCAGAGCCGACAGAGACAGCCTTCCCCAGAGCTGGCCCTGAATTCGGACCTCTAGTCTCCTAAACTGTGAGAAAATGAATTTCTGTTCTTTAAAACCCACCCACTTATGGTATTTCTGTTACAGCAGCACTAGATAACGCATACACCGGGCAGACAGAGGAGGCACAATCCGCCCAGATCCACACAGGAGTGCTGGGGTTCGGGGGAACAAGGAAATGCCCGGCAGGAAAGTAGAGAAACGGAACAGGCCCCCTGGAACGGGGAGCACTGGACACAGGGCAGGGGGAGTGGCTGCTGGCCATCTCCTCGCAGGTTACGGGTCGGGGGGCCGTAAAGCTGTGCAGGATCACAGGAAGGACCAGAAGAGAATGCTGAGGGAAGTTTCCGGAACAGACGGGAAAGCAGAGGAGGAGACTGGGGGAGCTTCCACAGGGGCCACGTCATTGCCACAGTCCCCAAAAACAGGCCTTGAGCTCTGAGTCCTGGGCTCTTCTCTGACCATGGGTTTCTTTCTTTTCCCAGTCTGAGCTGATGGTGGAATCCTTGGGTGGCATAAACGATTAAGCACTCGGCTGCTAACCAAAAGGTTGTAGGCTTATGTCCACCCAGCTCAGAAGAAAGGCCTGGCAATTAGCTTTCGAAAAATCAGCCACCAAAACTGGTCTGACCTCCTGCTAAGAATGATCTTTTTAAACTATAGATTCTGATTCAGTATATCTGGGGTCAAAAGGCAAATTTTCAGCAGGGGGTCAAACCAAAAATAACCAGTTCGAAGCCCTGCACTGAAAACGGTATGGAGTAGTTCTACGCTGACACCCATGGTGTCTTAGTCATCTAGTGCTGCTGTAACAGAAATACCCCAGGTGGATGTCTTTAACAAAGAGAAGTTTATTCTCTCACAGTTTAGGAGGCTACAAGTCCAAATTCAGGGCATCAGCTCCAGTGGGAAGCTTTCTCTCTCTGTCGGCTCTGGAGGAAGGTCC